TTCCTAAATTCACATCTGGACTGAGATTTACCAGTGAGCAACATGAGAGCTCCAGTGATGCTCAGCAACTATCTGAGTTGAAAGTGGAATGTAAAGCTTGTAGCTGTAGACTTTTGCAGGGAACATCTGTGCCGAGTAAGGCAGAAACGTAACCTGAACAAATAGCTAAGCAGAATTTACCAGGGGCCTCATTCTGGGGCTTGCTTATGCTACAGAGGAGCTGTCTCTTGTCCTGAAGATCTTGCAGTCAAAATAGCTTGGTCATGGCATCCCAAGCTAACAGGCATTGAGCGCTCAGAGTGCAGAAGGAATGCCAGAAGCACCTGCACCTCCTACAGCTAGCTGGCTGCTTTTCAAACCTTTTGGTATTGGTGTGTCTGGCCAGTCTGGAGCCATAGCTGAGTAATGGGACTGAGGAGAGAGGAGTGGTGCCACGTTGCTGAGGTGTAGGAAGGAGTCTGTTTGGATTCTTGCTGGCGTTGAATGAGAAACAGGTTTAGTGAGGATCTGCTTGGTTTCCTTCCTGCCCCACTAGTCCAGGTAAGGTATGGCAACTGCAGCTGGGGGTGTGACCTCTCAGACTGTGCTTCCTACCATCAGGGACAGAAGATGCTTTTCCTGCGTTCATCAGCTGTCTGTGCTGTTCTCTTCTCTTCTCTATCCCTTTTGAGAGCCTTTCCTTTAAGCTTGCATCATGTTTACTGCAACGCTAGCCGGGGGCAGGAATGTCCCTGGCACAGAGTATGATCTTTGTGCTGATGTGGAGCTCTCCCAGAGAGAGCTGCAGTGTCATGGCTGAGTTGCAGTCACAGGACCTGCTGGGTGGAATGAATGTCCACAGTGCCCCTCTCTCTCTTCAGCCTGTTCTGCTCCTATTTTTGGTTGTGCCTTAGGCTTTTTTTAAAACTTGTAATGCTTCATGGGTCAGCTGTCCTTTTGCTGGCTGGCAAATGGCAATCAGTGTGGTCTAATGTCAACAGGAGAGCATCATAGTGCCCTTGGTGCGAAAGCCCTGCTGCGGAATATGCAGGTCCGGAGGGGCCCTTCTTTCCCCTCTTGTCACCCCTTCTGCTGTGGGGTGTTTAACCTTTGGAATGGTTCTCATCCTTATGCATTGCACAGGCTTGAAGTTGTTTCATCTCTGAGCTCTTAGCTGCGTATAAGGGTCTTCCCAGCAGCCTGGCTAACATCAGTTTTAGGTGGTTGATCTTCAGTTCTTCTTTGCCAGAGGCAGAGTAGCAACATGCTGCTGAGGCTGGAGGTGTTTGTATGCAGTTATAAATAGTATGTGCTGCTTGAATGCTTTTCAGGTTAGAGAAGGGTAGTTTAAGGAGGACGCAAGGCAGTAGAGACTGAGATACTGGGTTATTTTGGAGCTGAGCATGACTGGTGGTGAAAACCAGTCCTTTAAAGGAATGACCTTGCTCTGTCAATAAGCATAGCATATAATAATATGAAGCTGGCTTCACATAGCTTAAAAATGAAATGCCGGTTAGCACTGCCTTCAGGTGTTTTCCCCATGGGTAATGGTAACTTGCCTCTTGTAGCTGCTGCATAAAAATCACAGGATGAACCAGCAGAGGTGGAGCAGCTGGCTTCCTTTGTCTAGAAAGGGACACATTGGGATGTTTCAGGACATAACTGCCTGATGTTCCTTTGTGTCATCACAACTGAAATTTGGATAAGGACAATGGCAGTATTCAAATTTATATATAACACCACCCCCTGGGGCAGGATAGAAGGGGGGATATGGCTTGACTAATGCAACTGGAATATTCCACATATTAATATGATTTTTAGAGAAACATTGGCTTAGTAAATCTGTATAAGAAAAAGTGTCAAATTAATTGGTTGGTGAGAGAACAAAATGTTTTCCCAGCAAGCAATACCAGCTATTATGTGTTGTCTCTGCCTCTTGGTATGTACTTCAATAAAGGAAGAGAAACTTAATTTAGCTTTTTCACATGTTCCAATGTCCTGAATCACCAGATCCCTCAAAAATCATGGAGGACTTTTCTGTGGGCTGAAACTGGCACTGGACTAGTAGTAATTGACATCTTGTGGATGACCCCTGTAGGACTCTTCTGTTGACCACCTCTCATTCAGCTGCTCTCTCTGGCAGGCTGTGAGTAGAATTTGAGCTGGTATTCCTAGAATAGCATTTCTGGTAGTAATGGGATTAAAAACTCTTACCGCTTCTGTCTCCTCCCAAATGTATTTTCAGGAGGGCTTGTCATCTGTCATGGATCTAGCTACATAAACTTGACTCCTTTGGCTGAACCCTCAGCTAGCCTTATTTCCAGGAAGGCTGGTGGTGCTGCTGCAGATCATCCTGTGCCTGTCTCTTCCTGCAGTTCTGCACTCAGCTTGCATAGAATGGGTTGGGTTGGAAAGGACTTTGAAGATCATCTAGAGATCCAACCCCCCTGCCATTTACAGGGACACCTGCCATGAGACCAGGTCGGTCGAAGCCCTGTCCAACCTGGCCTTGAACACTGCCAGGGATGGGGTATCCACAGGTTCTCTGGGCAACCTGTGCCAGTGCCTCACTACCCTCATCACCTTGCTTTGGTGCAAGTGAAACAGCAAGTCCGACAGAATCACAGGTGCCCTTAAACTGAAATACCTTAGAAGCTCCTGTGTGTGCATGTGTGCAGGCATGTACTAAAAAGAACCTAAACCAATGAACACCCAGAAAGTATTCAAATAATGCAATTGCTAGAATAAGTAATAATTCTTATTTTGTTCTCTTGGCTGTGCAGTGTGATAGAGCAGGTAGCTGCAACTCCAGTCTCCCCTCAAATGCTGTGAGACAGCCTGTTTCCTCACATAGTCAGGACTTTGCTATTTTGTTTTTCTTAAATGAACAAAACCTTCCAGCTCACATTTCAGCTCAAGCAGGCAGTCATAATTTGTAATTGTGATTGTTTCCAGTATTGCTATCAAATCTTCCTGTACAGTGAGATGCCAAGTGTGAAAGCATCATTCCATAAGCATCATCTCCTGAGTGACACACACACCTCCACACTCTCACCACCAGAGCTCTCTGTGCATGCAGGCTGTCTCCCTGCAGCTGTGTGCTCAACACCCAGCCTCCCACTGGGTTTTTCAGCAAAGCCAGCAGCTCCATGCAATGCACTCAGTGCAGTGGAGTTTCTTGGGGTCATGCGGCCAAGGAGCTGGGCTGGGATTCCCTCAGGCTTTCACTCTGTTGCTGCTTCTTCATGTGCATTTCCTCCCCTTGTCAGATGTTAAGGTGTCTTGGGGAGCGTTATGAGTGGTAATGTCATGGTGCTGATAAAATGTAATTCCCGCAAGGCTTGCTCCATATTGGAAAGGGTGTTGAACCATGTGGCTACTATCTGGAACAGGTTGGGCTCAATGGCTTACTGCTAATTGAGTAAGTAAGATCAGAATTAGACTGCTAAACATTGCTCTAGGACAGAGCAAAAGACTGGGATTACAGTGCTAAAAATTGCTGCAGGGGGGAACTTTGGATTTTCTGCTAAGTTGCTTCCTCACAGTGCCTAAAATCCTCATCCAGAGTCTCTGGTCACGTTCAAGATTGAAGTTCTGTGCATGCTTGAGCTGCTGGTGCTGATGGGTTTCCAAAGCACAGAATTGCATTGCCAGGCTGTGTTGTTGGAAAACGTTGCTGGCGCGCATGCATTGTGAAAGGGTGGGATGTGTCAACATAGTATTGAGGCTGTTAACTGCTCCTATCTCCATTTTATTTACTAACCTGCATCTAACTTTGGTTCTTTCATTCTGCTGCCTCCTTTCTGCAATTGCAAGTCTGTGTGGGAGAGCAAGATGGAGGGATTTCCAGCTGGCTTGAACTGGTAGTCTTTCATCTTTCTTCACAAACTGAACTTCAGTGTGATTGAAGTCTTAATGTGTGAAAGCATGTATTTCTTTTTTTCCTGGTTTCTTTTATTCCACACCATCACCATCATCCCCCCCCCCCCCGGATGATATTCTCATATGTATTCCTGATGCCCCTGGGAGTGAAGTGATTGGCTGGTTCTTAGAGGAGCTGTTGTCTTGTATCTCACCATGGCTAGATGTCTGTGGCAGTAACAGTCAGTGTGTGCAAAGGGCAGCATGCTGGCTGCTGGGAGTTTGGCTTGGGTTGATGTTTTTGCTTTGTTTTCTGCCATCCCTCCTTTCCCAGTGGAGAGCTCTGATGCTGTTGCCAGATTGGGCTCCTAGTGACCATGAGATAATGGGCTTAGCAGATGCCTTCCCTTTTGTGCAGATGGGATGTCTCCTCTCCTCCAAACTCAGCTGGGTCACTGTGTGAAAGGATAAAGCAGGCATGGCTTCATGAGTTCTACTTGCTATAAAGGCCTTGTTTAGTGCTGCGGAACTGGATGGGATGGGACCCAAAGACTGCAGGAGGCATTAAGTCACTCATTCCCTAATGGAGCATAGTGTCTATCTTGTTCACCTGAGTGGTGGCTGATATTTGCAGTTGAACTGGGATCATTTAGCTCTAAAGTACAGACATTCCTGTTTACTGGCACTTTTGCTTACAGGCAGATGACTTTTTCATGTCAGAAAAAAGATGCTTACTAGAAAAGTGTTAGCGGAAGATGTTTTGAAGTGGATTTAGCCATAAGCTCAAAGCTCTTAAAGCATCTCACTTGTTTTCTTTGCTAGTCTGTGTTTTCACTAGCCCTGCACTGACCAGTAAGACAGGATCTAAGAAAAAGTGTGAGGCTTTAGCCAGATGCTAAGGTCTTCCTTGACTTTATAAAACGTATGTCAGATGAGGGTAGCTGTCTGCAATGGGGGAGTGTGAGGGCCAAGAGAGCAAACTTCAATGACTCCTGTAACACTGCCAGTAATAGCCTCTTGTCTTGAGTTATATATCAGCCGGTGGGGATAAACCTCTGAGTAAAACTGTGAATGAGGCTTTTTTTTTGTGCCTTATTCTGTAAAGGAGGAGGCTGTATTTTCTAGGATTTCATGGTGCATTTTTCTTTCTCTTGTTGCAGGTGAGGCTGGTGCCAGCATTATTAGAGTGTCAAAAGAAGCCCGGAAGAGGTTCTTGGGACCTCTCCACCCATCTTTCAACTTGGTGAAGATCATTCGGATCTGCCTGTCCAAGACCGTGCCAGAGAATGGGCACGAGGTTGCAGCAGGACGCTTGGGTATTTCCCTGACACGGGTCTCTGATGGAGAAAATGTAATACTGTCAGACTTCCATTCCAAGGAGGAGCTGATCCAGGTAAATGGAAACTTATTGCAGAGGGCTAGGCAGGAACTGCATGCTAGTTTGTTTTCCCTTGGTCTCCAAATGTCCTTAGTATTGGAGTATAATTGCCAGCACATGCCAGTGTGATGTTCTGAGAAGAGTAATCAATCAATCAATGGGTTAAATAGGTTTTGATCTGCTGCTTACATTCTGGATCTCTTTCTCCCTCAGGCCTGTGTCTGCAGTGCCTTTATCCCTGTCTACTGTGGGCTGATACCTCCAACCTTGCGTGGAGTGGTAAGTAAGACTCTAGATGATCCTTCATTAAATCGTGTGCTAATGAGTAAGAAGGCAGAAATGTTAGTACTCTATTTTGCCTGTCTGCTGTCAGCAATTAGCCTGAGGAAGCACAAGAAATTCCCAAATGAACAGCTTCAACAGTGGGTGTGCTTTCTTTCCACTGCTGCCTACTGGCTATAGTGTCCTGAAAACTAGAGGATTTAACATGATAGTAATATATTGTAATCTGGGCAGGTACTGACAGACTTAGCTGCTTGGTACAATGCTGTCCATCACTGAGGCTCCAACCCTCTGCATGTGGAAAGAACTTGGTTCCAGGGTAGAAACCATGAGTGTGGTCCCTCTCCCATGAGCCTGTCACTTTCTGTTGGGTTTTAACTAGTGGTGTTGATACCAGGCCTTTATTCCATGGAGTTCTTCCTGTCCTTTCTCTGAAAATAATGTTCTGCTGCCTGATGGAGCTTCTTCAACGTCCTGTCCAAGGCTGTCCAGTGTCTACCTTCTGTGTTTGCATGTTGGAAATGAAAACATTTGAAAGCTCTGTGGAGCTGGAGCATCTCTGAATATTGCAGTTATGCTTAAGGGCCTCACTTGAGCTTGGACTCCCCTTGTGCTACATAGGTTAATGCAGACATTAAAAGGAAAGTTTGTTTGAAAACTAGGTAGTCAAAAGGGAGAGGGAGAACTGCTATTAATGTATGTGTGCCCTGGTTTCCTGTAAGTGACCTGACCAAGGTGCCTCAGTCTGTCAGAGCATAGCATCAAATCTGATCCCACTGCTACCTGTGTCCAAAAAGTGAGGTCAGTTTTGCTCCTGTCTAATATATAGCTTGGCTGTCTTTGTCCTGTGCAAGCATTTTGGGCAGGAAAATCACCTAGAAATGTCCAATCTGCAGGCAGGTTTTTTGTCCCACAGCTGGTAGCTCTTGCCCGACACTTCTCTGGGGCTAGTCGAGGTCAATGTGGATTAGGCAAAATCTCAAAATTCCAAAACATCAGGGTTTCTGGAATGTGCAGCTGCCCTGGCACACCAAGGGGTGACTTCTCATGTTGAGATTCCCCATGGGGAAAGGTGGGGAGGGAATATATGAGATGAGGAAATTAATTCCTACCTCTTCCCCCAAAAAATCATTGTTCTTTGTGTCTCTCAGGGGGGAGGGTGGTGAGAACAGAGGTTAAATTAGGTTGGGTATGAGCCTGTGAAAAGTTTTTGACATGGGACTGCATGGTTCCTAGCATGCCTGTGATGACTGTGACTGTATTTGCCACAGGACAGACTGACAGGCCTGGCATGAGGACAAGTTTTGAAGGCAGTGTGATCGTGTGAAAAGTGTAAAATCTGTATTCTGCCTTCCTCCTAATTTTTTTCCAGTGTTCGCTCTCTGAGCTCTGGTAGCCCCATGGGGTGGATAATGAAGATAGGTGGAGGGAAGGAAAAACAGTGAATTCTCAAATACTGGGAAATGGAAGGGTCAGTAACTGACTTGTCAACACACACTTTAGCCATGAACAAGTTCATGTACCATGTGGATCAGATGAACACCTAACAAGGATCAGAAAGCCAGGTGTCAGTTCATGTGAGTGAGGGGCCCTGTAAAAAAAAAAAAAAAAAAGAGGACATGATAAGGGAATGGAACTGGGCAGCCCAGAAATTACCCCAGTCTGAGAACCATCCCCCAAAACTGCTGCTGCTCATGCCTGGAGCCAGCTGGTGACTCCAGCCTGTGGCTCCGTGCAATTAGGCTTTGCAAGGGGTTGGAGAGTGGTTAGGCTTGGGTTGCTGGAGGTTCAGGCAAATGCAAAGAACTGGCAGCTGATCTTGAGTCAGGAATGGTAATTGGCACTACTTGGGGAATGGTGGACTGGAGAGCAGGGTCTGCGTGTATATTCCTGGATTTCCATGCAGTGAGAAGGCTTTGCCTGTCGGCTTTTTAGTTAAGCCTTTTTTCTAATGTCATCCGTGCACTCATGCTGCCACCCTGAGGGAAACGTATGTTTCTGCATCCTTACCGCAAAATTAGTGTCGTGTGAGACAAGGCAAAGCATGATGCAGAATGGAGCACCTCCTCTTCTGATCAGCATTTCCGTGCTCTGCTGGATTCAGCCTCAGCCAGCTTAGCTCCTCACCCAGCAGAGAGCTGAACGATGGCACAGCTGCTACTATGGGGCTGTGTAGTTCCTACATGATGGTTTGCATTTGAACCTGTCTGAAGGGACAGGTTCCTGTCTGGCAGGATCAACCTTGACACAAAATCAACAGGACTCTTCTGTAACCAAGGTTCTTAAGAGCTTGAATTGTTGCTCTGCAAAGGTTTCACACTTCCTGCTCCTTTGGCTTGACCAAGGCCCTCTCCCTTTATCTTCTGCATGTTGTTTACACTGCCAAAGGCCTGTGATAGCAGTTGTCTTGCTCAGCTCCTTGTGCAATTATGGTACACCAATGAATACTCTGAATTGAGTACATGCTACTGGGATTGTCTTTCCTGCAAGGGTAACGCAAATGTGTTTATGGTGTGTAAGTACAGAACATTCTCTGACAAGAGAGTGCCTGATAAGTGCAAAACGCTGGTCCCCTGTGCTCTGTTACCACACCACAGAAAGTAGATTCCAAAGGTGTATACATGTGTTGGAATTGCTGCTTGATAAGCCTGCTAGCAATAAATCAGCTCTTAGGTAACGAACCTGCCAGTGGGAAATTGTGTTTGAGCTTATTCATTTTAAACACAAGTGAAAAATGGCACAATGTCACAGTGTGACAGCTTAGATCAGTGCTAATTTGCACTGTAGGTGGTGGTTGTTGTGTCATTTTATTTAATTGGAGAGCTGTCAAAACCCATAGGAGATTTAAGTCAGCAGTCACACAAGTAAATATGCCTTTCTTGTGGAATGCTTGTGTCCAACATGCGTAACCATAGAAAGAGAGGCACATAGCAAAAGGAGATTATAGACAACACAGCTGTGCTATCACTGGTTTTGACTCCTTCTGTGCTGGTGGGTGTACTCCGATCTCTTCCCGAGTTGTTGGCACAAATATGAATACAGTAAAAAAGCTGCTTGATCAGTTATGAGAATTGAGAGTGCTTCATTTGTCTTGATTTTTTTAGAGATACGTTGATGGAGGGATTTCTGACAACTTGCCACGATATGAGCTGAAGAACACCATCACAGTGTCTCCATTCTCAGGAGAAAGTGATATCTGTCCACGAGACGGTTCCACAAACATGCATGAGCTGAGAGTCACCAATACAAGCATCCAGTTCAACCTTCGCAACCTTTACCGCCTCTCAAAGGCCCTGTTTCCTCCGGAGGCGCATGTGAGTTTCCTGGCAATATCAGAACTTGGACAGTAGATAGGCACTGGCTATACTGGGCACTTTAGCAGAGGAGGACTTCAGACACTGTTAGTTTTGTATCTCTTGTTTGTTTTTTAACCTTGACGTTATTAACCCAATGACTTGGCAAACCTTGACCATTTGCACAAGGTTGTATAAGTGGCTTGGTTTTCTTTTGCTTCTGGGAGATCCGGAATTTAGGTTGGAAAGTATTTTCACGTTGCTCTCTGGAGTAGTTTGCCAGGAAGTCAGGCTCACTTGTAAACAAGGGTGTATCAGCCATCAGAACCCATGTGCTTTTGAGTGTTTTATTGTCAGGTTGGACCTAGTAGCCTGCAGCCAGTGACTGTCTCTTAAAAAGTGCCAGTGGAGCAGGTGTCGCTTTGACCAGCTTTGTGTACTGTGAGCAAATGCAGCCTCAGATAGCCTTGGTATTTCAGCATAATAAGTGTGCTTGCATGTGCTGAATTATTTGGACAGGCTTTTTCCTCCCCCTCTCTAGTCTTGCTGACTTTATCTGCAAATGCAGTGGCCCTTCCTGGCATCTGCTGAGAAGTATTCTGGTCTGCTTGTCAGAGTGACTTGCTGAAGGCTGCACACAGTAGCATCAGCTCTAGATGTGGAAATTGAGTTGACACAAGTCTAAGCTCATTCTTGGGTAGGATCCCAGGTGTCCCTTCCAATCTTGAATTATCATGTGATCCCCATGTTCACTGTATTTATGTTACACCCACCATATCTGCTCAAAGGCTGGGAAGAGCTGACAAAGATGAGACTTGTTTTTGGGATAGCGCAGGAATCAGGAAAATTCCTCTAAAGCCAGCATTGAGCTGATGTTTGCTCTGCTCAGCCAGGCAGTCTCCAAATGACTTGCTCTTGCCTTCCTCTGCCCTCAGGTGCTGCGGGATATGTGCAAGCAGGGCTATCAGGATGCACTGCACTTTCTGAAGAAGAACGGTAAGGCTCTGTGTTTGCAGGATACACTGATTTGCTTCGTCTGTGACAGGCTTGGTATCTTGGCTTTGAGAATAGTCAGTGGTGTATATGAAAAGTGGAAGGGCAGAATTGAGCTGTGCTTCAGGAACTGGAATATGGGATTTATATTAAGTCTATTTTAGCACTGCAGGATGCAGAAGTGAACACCTTTCTAGTGCAATGCAGGAGGATTCTAACCATTCTTATACCAGAGTGGTGGTTTTGGCACATCTAAGTTTTGAAATTACTTAGCATGTACTCTGTGCTACACCAGCACAGCTGTTAGGCACCGGTGCCATTTGGACTTTCTGCAGATATCCTGCTGCTCCTTCTTATGTGCAGCTAGGGTATGTCTAATGTAGCACAGCAGTGCAGAGCACAGGCATGCCTTCAGAAGCCCCCCCGCACTTGGCAGTTTGACACTGCTGTTTCACTGTCTTTTATGTGAAAGCCCCGGACTTCGTAGACTCTGTTGTAGCAGGTTAAGCGTGTGTTTGATGCCACCTAGTGTCAATTTACAGCAGATCGAGCACATCGAGCACATCTCGAGCATATGTTGACTCTGTGTTGCATACCTCACTGGGATAAGAGCTGTCAATACAGCCGTGTTTGTGGATTAAGCTGCAGGAGGGAAACCTTGCCTGCAAGATGGGTGACTGGCAGCTTATAGCAACAAAACACTGCCAAACAGCACCCTGCAGTACTTAAAGGGGAAAAGGCAGAATTTCTAGCAGCGATGTTTCTAACTCATTGTGGTAAGAATTACAATAGATGTAAGCTAAAGAGGCTGGGTATGACGCCTGTCTGAGGCGTGTTAGGGTGAAGAATAACACTAAAGGTCAGGGAAGGCAGGGCAGCTAGTTTAAATCAGCCTATGGTATTTCTTTTCCTCAGGTCTCCTTAATCGTCCAAGTCCTGCCCGCCCTCTCCTTGCCATAGAAGCCCCCCCAGGAGAGAAGAAAGAAGAAGAAATGGAAGCTGAGGACCAAATAGAGGACAATACTGAACTTGCTGAAGTTGAAGAGCATATCATGGAACACTTGCCTCCCAGACTGAACCAAGGTATGACCCAAAGGGAGAGATACCAGGCAATCTCCCTGTGCTGCCTGGTCCACTTCAGAGGATTACTGGGGATGGGTTGGGTATTGCTTGTGGATGGGCTTGGCCATACCTAAGGATTTAACTGACACCCACTGATGATGAGATGGAGTCGTGGCCTCTTAGATAAAATTGTGGATTGCCCTTTAGAGGCTATTGGGAGAGGTTGACTCATTTGACATTGCTCTGAATAGTAAGGAGAGGAGGGGATCTTGTTGCTCACTTCTCTGGGAGTCTGATAAAGCTAAAACCTGCTGTTTTCGGCTGCACTGGGACAATTACTACCCTGAGCAAGACTGCCTTAAGAAGTGGAATGTGCAGAGGGGAGTCCTCAGGCTAGATAACTTCTGGGGTATGGCAATGTCGTGATTTAAACCCAGTCAGGTAATTCGTTCGCTCACTTCCCCCCCTTTTCTTGCCCTCCCCCTGCTCTCGGAGGGACGGAGAGGAGAATCAAAAAGAATGCAACTCCCACGGGTTGAGATAAGAACAGTTTAGTAACTAAGGTATAACACAAATCACTACTGCTACCACCAGTAATAATAATGATAAAGGAAATAACAAGGGAAGAGAATACAACACCTCAGCACCAGCCGACCGATAACTTGCCCCCCCTCAGCCCGACCAAGCACCGACCAATACCTCCTCCAACCCTGCCGTCTCCCAGCCCTTCCAGCTAACTCCCAGTTGCATCCTGGGCATGACGGGCTGTGGTATGGAATACCTCTTTGGTCAGTTTGGGTCAGGTGTCCTGTCTCTGCTTCCTCCTGGCTCCCCCTCCTCCCTGGCAGAGCATGAGGCTCACAAAGTCCTTGGCCAAACCAAAACATCCTTGTTATCAGCTCTGTTCCCAAGCTGAAAGTCAAAACACTGCACTGCACCAGCTACCAAGAAGGGGAAAAATGACTGCTACTGCTGAACCCAGGACAGGCAAGGAAAGAGATAGTCCCACTGAGGGGATTCAACCATATTCTCTTCTGCCTCCAGCTCTTCTGGAGGCTTGTGCTGAAAGAAGAAGTTTCTTTACTGGCATTGCCAACATGCTGCCTATACGTGTGGCCACAGCAATGATGGTGCCCTATATGCTGCCTCTGGAGTCTGCAGTTTCCTTCACTGTCAGGTAAGCCATTGGCTGGTTCCCTTAGTGGTGTTCTTCCTAGTTCAGTGAAGTTTTGATGTAGTGAAACATAAACAGCCAGAGACTCTGCATGGCCTCTCTGACTCTGCAGTGACCAAATACTTGGAGAAAGAGTTCCTGCCACTTACCAGCCATATTAAAAAAAAATTAAAATAAAAGTCCTCCCCCCACCACCCCCACCCCCCCCCCCCAAAAAAAAGAGGCAAAAGAAAGCACCCCAACAAACACCTCTTCCAACCTTCATATGTCATTTAGCTACAGCAAATACTTCCAGCTTGAAGGCAGATGGCTGTGGGCTGGAACTTGTCTTAGAAAATGGTGAGAAATTTTGGAGCCTGAGGAGAAACTTGTGAGCTAAGAGCACAGGGATGAAAGTGGGAACCAAATGAGGGGATGTTCCCCTCTGCAGTGAGGAGAAGAGAATTCCCAGCCATTTCCAGTTCTACACTTAATGGGTTAAGAAGACAAGTCTGTCAGACTTGTTCTTTGTACAAAGTACTCTATAAAAAGTTTCTGGAAGGAAATAGCTTGTGGTAGAAAAGCTTAGAGAAAAACACTTTCCAAATCTGAAAATCGATGAAAAAATATGGAAAGTGCAGACACAAAACATAAAGAATAAGTTCCTGGGCTGTTTCCAACCTTCATAGCTTCTCCCTATTAATTCTGTGAATGGTAGTATAAATTGCTCTTTATACATTTGTAATTAAAAATAATGAGTGACCATTGATAGGATGCAAAACTGGTGTCCTTCTCATCCTGCCGTTTGTGTGGCCCAACTAATGGTTGTCTTCTGTCTCCTCCCAGGTTGCTGGAATGGCTCCCAGATATTCCTGAGGATATTAGATGGATGAGGGAGCAGATGACTGAAATCTGCAACTATCTTGTGAAGAAAGCCAAGAAGAAACTTGGCAGCCATCTTTCAGCCAGGTATGGCTGCTTTCCTCCACAGCACTATTCTGGAGCAGCCCTCCATTTCCCCTTTCACCTTTGACTTCTACAGACTCTGCTCCAATGGAGCTGATTAAGAACATCACAAATTGACCAGAAATTGATCTGGTCCATGGTATCTTGGCTTCCTTAACTGTTGGATAGACTCAGCACATGGTCTTCTTCCTTCTTCTCATTACAGGGTAGACCCTGTAGTGAAACTGTTAATACGGTGGTAGGGCAGAAGACATAGGTTTAACTAAAATAGTATGCTAGCTTATTCCATCTTCCCTGTAGAAGACATAGGTGCTGTCTTTGTGGCATTTTCTGGCCCAAAGTCCCATAAAAATTCCTTCCTAGAGGTCCCTTTTCTGCCATGAGATCTTGGCCTGGTTTAGGGTGGGGAAGCACTAGGGTGGCCAAAAACCACCAGAAGGTTTCCAAATGAGGCAGAGTACTTACGTGTGTGTTTGTGCCTGAGCTTCTGAACTGAACTCCCTGCCGCAGTCCATGGCTTGAGGCTGAGGCAAGACTGTGTTGTGTGGATGAGGATAGCTGAGTATTAATAGGCAGAGGGTTCCAGCTGTGATTCGGATCCTAGTATAAAAGGGTGATTCTTACCCACAAGCGCTCATGGTCTTGAATAATCAAGAGATGTGAGGGGGCGAAAATAGGTGCACACTGAGACTTCTAACTCTGCATAAGATTATGCAGTTAGTGGTAGAACAAAATAGCTCTATGGTTCTGGAGCTCTGTTCTGGTGACCTGCTCAAGTCTTCCAGTGTACTAATTCTTTGCATGTGTTTATCTTTCAGGCTTTACTATCACCTCGAGCTTGGACAGCCTCAGAGCCTGCCAATTTCTTCTGCATCAGCTTGTGGTGAAGCATTGCCTGTGTGGATGAGAAGCAACCGTTCTCTCTCTGATGCCATGATGAAGTGGGAGGAGTACCAGCGCCAGCTCATGCTGGGCTTACTCTGCATCAACATGGACATGCAGGCTTCTCTCTTCCCTCGGGAAGGGCTTCAGCTAAAGCTTCCACCCTTAGACTGTGCGAAAGAGTGCCTGCCACTCTTCTGAGCCTGCTGGCCTGAGGGGATGAGGGTGGGTGGAAGGGGAGCGCATGTAGGGTGGGACCAGTCTCATCCTTCAGCAGCAGGCTGCCCTGTGCTCATCAATATGCTGCAAAGGGGATTTCCCCAGGATGGAGACTGGTAGAATTGACTCTAGTCATTTTTTGCCCACTGGGCCAGGCAAGGGATCTCTGTGATCAAAGACACACATAGGCTGATACCTTGCTCTAGGTTTGTGTTGAGGCCTGGCCATTGCTCATGGCCAGGCTGATGCTGACCCAGCTGGGCTTTCCCAGATAGTGCACTTTGAATTGCCTTTGGCTTTTTACTGCCAAATAATCAGGATGTAGATGATGCTCTCAAATTCTTACAATTTTTAGCCTCCTTTGTTTTTAGAGAATGAGTCTTGCTTTTGCTTAAATCATTTGACATCCTTTAGGTCTTTGTGCTACTGAAAGATGAAGTAGCCTCTTGCTAAACCAGTTTTTCTTGTGGCTTCCAAATCTTCTTTTGACTCCTTTGCTGAAATCACATCTTTTCCTCTGTCCCTGAACTGCATCCCCACTGGAAGCCAGAGCTGGCCCTGCTGCAGGCTGCACCGGGACTGCAGAAAGGTAGAAAAATCAGTTATTTACTCAGATTTATGTTGTTGTGGTCTCTCCTTTTTGTTTTTTGTCCTCATGGAACTGAGCTCTGAGTGTTACTAAGTTATTGAGCTTATTTGAAGAAGTAATTTAGACGGAATTTTTTCCAGAGAAACATGTTGAATTAGAGGCCCCATTCCTGTCACTGTGAATGGAATTGGTGTGGGGTTGCTCTGGGAAAGCTCGGCCTGACCATTTCAGGATCAGCTTAACAGCTGAAGCAATACTAAGTGCTTGTAGGAAGGTGAGATTGTGCAGGGCATGTTATTTTTGAGTGGCTGTGGTGGAGTGTCACAGCAAGTGCTGAGGAACGGCTGCCTCTGACAGGGCTTGGGCTTTGTTCCTGAAGGAACTGTACAACTGTTCCTTAAGGGGGGAGGAAATTCCAAGCGGATGATACAGAAGGGATCTCCTGCCAAACTGGATGCTTGGCTTTATCAATTTTTTATTAGTTTTTTTTTCCTCAAAGAGTCCGAATGTTGAGGCTTTAGAGTGAGAAGGATTTAGGCTTGTAGCTATACCAGCCCCGCAGCTTGCCTGTCTCCTGTTTTGGATCATGGGTACAGCTCTGCAGGTAGCAATAAGAGGAGCATGTGAAGTGGAAGTGAAGTTAGGACTGTTGGTGCACGTGCAATCTGCTTGGAATGGACTACTTGTGTTGTCCCTTGAAAGACCGCAGCTAGTAGGTCTGTAGCAGGGCAGGACTGTGCCTTCTTTAACGTATTCCTTTTTCAGTGGTGGTCTGGTTGTTACTTGCTGTGCAGAAACATGAACTCTGTTCTTCACAGGGTGAGACATGGCTTCCCGTGGGGATTTTATGTATTTAAGCTTAAATCCTTGCACTATGACACAAAATCAGCTCCTGGTATCTTTTTTTCCCTCTTTTATTCTGCAGCTCGTCTAGCTACATGAGGCATCTTCTACCTCTCCTAGCACAAACAGTATGCAATTGGCCAAAGCAAACGTATGCTGTCCTTGCTGGGGAGCAGGACAGGGTATCTGAAGCCAACTACATAGCTTATACAATAGAGTAGTGATTTATAATAGACTCTTTTGCACCTTTTGATTTAGAAAGGGAAAATAATCCCAGAAGTTCTACTAACAGCTGGAGAAGGCAGTGAATCTGCTCAATCACATCTGCATGCGCAGTGTGGGTGATATGGGGGGTGCTGTTTCCTACCAGCACAATTGTACTGGTAGGATGTTTGTGGTGGAGACTGTGATAAACATCAGGACTTTTCTGTAGTGGCCATTGCAAGCTGTGAGTCAATAGACTGGGCAGCTGTGGTGCTAACCAACTGTCCAGGAGATGCTGGTGCATGGATGAACTTGTGACCTGGAGTATCACTCCACTGCCCTTCCTGGATGTAACCTACCTATGTAACACAAGGGCCTGCTCCCTTATGAAGTTGGCCTGCACTTGGCAGTCAGATTTAGCCTTAAGCTTTGCATAGTTAAGGCACTTAGGGAACAGAAAAGTCATTACAGGAAAAGAGCAAATTGGAGGATTCTGAATCCAGAGTAGGAATATTGGGTTATAAAACAAGTCAATCTTACGATTGTCTAAAGCTCACAGAAAAAGCTTACTGCTAGATCTATATAACTCCAATTGAAGTGAACTAGCAACAAGCTACTGTCAGTTACGGAGAGCAGGATGAATTTGATGAAAACTGGAAGTAAGAAAAGGTGTTTATTTTGTGGTTTGGTGTGGGATTTCTTTTCTCCCACTTCTCTCTGGGCTACCTTTTCTGAGGGAAAGGCACATGCACAGCTGCTTCATTTGCCAAATGCATTTCTCTTGTCTGTTATGCACACAGAGTAAGTGGCAAGAACCTATAAATGCTTAGTGGCAAGAAATGAAGGCGTTTCATCCAGAAGCAAAACATCTGTGAGGGCCAGAGCTGGAAAAGGAAAGTCTTGTGCTTAGAAGCGGCTGCCCTTTTGACTCTGCCTTGTTTGTGTTAATATATGGGTGGAGAAAATGATGCAACTATTTTTTTTATCCCTTCTTCCTGGACTGGTAAAACCACTGAGTGATTATGTAAACCACTAAACTATGAAACAAAATTCTCCTGGCAACAGAGCATGCTAAGGAATTGCAGCTTGGCACCCTTATCTGCTGGATCTTTTCTGTGCTCCTTTGGCATCAGAACTGAGTGGGCTGGTGCCACTGTCTTCCTGTGCTCTGACTCGGAAGGCTTGCTGGTTTTGGTCCATGCATTTCAAGAGATGAACCCCTGTGCCTGGTAAAAGGCCTGAGTTTCTTTGTTTCGCCTCATTTGTTATTTAGTTAATTGTATTAACCTCTCAAAGAGAAGCTTTTGCACACTTTAAACTGTAACCACAAACTAAAGCCTGGCTTTAAATATAAAGGCCTAACTCTTCAGGGAGGAAACTTCTGTTTTCCCTATGCTGATTTGCAGGGTGTGAACAGATACTGGGAAAGCACCACATTGTATTAACCCTTTCTTTGTGTTTATTCCCCAAGTCATGCAATGGCTATTGTATGATACTTGTTGGCTTTATAGATGCAAGCTCTGATGAAGAAACTGCAGATCTGTTGAAAATACCTCAAACCTACCCTCCTCTTTCTTAAGAAAGATTTCATGCATTTGCTTGAAATCCTTCCTGCTCATTTATCACAGATTGCAAAGGATCTTGCCTGCTGATACAGAAAAAGGATGAGGCTGCTTTGGAGAGCAGCTTTTTGCTATGCAGTTCTGCCTCCTCTAGATCAGGTCTCACTTCTTTGAAATCCCTGGAAACCTCATGATAGGCTCTGGATTGGATATGGAGGGCTTTATTGTGATAACTGGAATTCTTTGAGCCCTTGCTCCACATGTACATCATGACATGTATTATCTTTGGGCAGGAGCTGCTGATTAACCTCCAGTTGTAAAGTTCATAGGAACGAGGTAATCATCTGTAGCAGTTGGCCCCTTCTTCAGCAAAACATGTGGCTGGGCAGCCCAGCGGGTAGTTGCCAGGGCCTGTCTGCTCTCCAGAATATGGTGGTTGAGAGGTAAGGTTCCAGGACCAACGGTTCAGCTTGCAGTCAATGTCCAGTTGTCCTTACAGCATTCACTTGAACTCTGCAAGAGTCCCAACCCTTGCAAGGGTCTTGCATTCAGGAATCCACTTTCTTTTTCTCCTCTCCTTCCTGTGGTACTGCTTGCTGCTTTTAACAAGGCTAACGGTGAACTTAATCATCTAACTAACCCCTGACCTGAACAACACTGTAGAGTTGTTTTATGTTGCTTACAATGGTCCATATCTATGGCATGCTCTGTAAGCCATAGGTGTGTGTGTGGTGTATTGGGTTTGGTTTGCTGCCTGCCCTACTGCTAATATTGTTGCAAGCTGATTTTCAAGGGGTAGGAGAACATGCTTCACTTCTGACCACTATCTATAGGACCTAGGAGGCATTTTCTCGTGGCTTTCTGGAAGCATGTGTACCTGCAACACCCAGCTCAGATGATAAAAGATAATCTGCTGTCTGCCAGCACTGGGGTGTCCCTAGAACTTGCTGTGTATTCACCAGTGGTTTTGTCCACTTTTAAAAATGAATCTAGTAATTAACTCATTTCTCAGAGAGAAGAGCTCTCACTTGCCAGAGTGGTGGTGGGAGAAATACCAGAAGCTCAGTGTGTGTGTTTCCCTTAGGGGTCCGTTTCTGCTAAACACACGCTAAATGTGGTGGGTAGCAGGGCTGAGTGTTGCCAAAGTCAGAGAGGGCCTTGCCAACGGTTTTCTCAAGCTTTGTTGCCATCTTCTCCTTAACTCAATGAGGGAACAGACCACCTCACTTGGCTGCCACATCAGCTGGGTTGCTTGTGCCAAACACCCTGTGCCTTCACAGTGGACTCTGGCCTGCCTGCCCTCTGTGTCCCTGTGGCAGCTGCCCCTCGAACTGCAGCACTGCTTGCTCCTCTCTCTCCTTCCCCTTGCATGTACCAATGGGACATTGCTCTGGTTCCAGTCTGCAGGCAGCTCCACCAGGACAGTCTCTTAACTGCATCCATCTCACTATGTAAATCCACATCAGCCCTTCTGCACAGGGAGGGGAAACCTCTAGTTCCAAACAGAAGACTCATAAAAGTAACTTTGAAATAAATACCTCTTCCTTCTGTGGTTTTTTCTTGCTCTTGAAACCAGCATCTAAAGCAGCTCTTTGAGCTCAGTGTGTCCTGAGGCTCCACTGCTGTCACTGAGCGTGAGAAGACCCTTAAGCACACAATGCATATAGAGATCCTGTGGAGATTACTGATGTCAGAGCAGCAGCTAGACCAGCAATAGCATACACAAGTTTTGTATTTACTCAGCACCATCATTAAGTAGTGTTCACAGTCACTTTAAAAGTTCAGTATTAAATTGATGCTTTTTTTTTTTCCTTTTTTTTCCCTTCTTTTTCTAATGTTTTGCTGAAGAAAATGTACCTATTTATTTTGGCAGAAATATAACTTCTAATAAAAACTTCCTCAATTTATTTACCTGGCTGTGGTAGGTTGCTTGTCTTGCTATTTAAAGGCTTATTAAATATTTTTGAATGCACTTTATGCTGTGGGTTTGTGTTGCTGGGCCCTGCCCCATTCTAAGTCCTTTTAGGGTAAACATGCATCCGCCTGTGATGAATGGGGCATCATCTAGAGGTGAAAAATGGTGCGTTTTGGCTCAGTTCTTAAGCCAAAATGTCTCTGTTTTATTGGAGCTTCTGGGCAGACCCTGGTTTCCAAGAGGAACTGAGCACCATCTTGTGTCAATTGCAGGTGCTTGGCACCTGTTAGTAAGAAGTTAATCACAAAGTTGAAACTTCCCCGATTCCATGGCATCTTCTGGGGGAAGCTGAACCCTGTCACTTATGCCCCTGTTTGTCACTAGGTGAAATGCATCTTACTGGCTGTCATCTGCCTATTTCAGCTGGATGCCAAGGTTGCCCTGATTAATTTCCAGCTGGGCACATGGAAACCACCAGCCCTTGGCTCTGGGATGTCTGGGGGCTTTCCTTGGTGTGAGTCCCTGGCACTGCTGGCCGGGCTGCGGAGCAGGGACACCCAGGCCAGGGACAGTAGCCCCACACAAGCTGGGGTTTGCTGCTGCAGGTGCCCAACAGGCGCCGCAGGACTCGGGCTCTTTTCCCAGTCTGTTGGCAGCAGTGAAGTGTAGAAGCCCACTTTGTTATGTGCCATCACAGGACAGGTGCAAGTGCTGTAAGTACTGTAGCACGCAGCTGCTACCGCAAGCAGCTTTTGCACCTCTGCTACTAGCAAAGGACGAGCATCCCCGCTCGGTGCCGGCAGCCGTTGAAGTTGCTCTTTCTCCCGTCAGTAGGGCTGTGCTCTGCCGGCGGAGCGGCAGCGGGCAGGGCTGGGTGCGCACGCCGCAGCCCGCGGGCTCCCTGCCTTTTGGGGGCAGTTTGAGGCCGGGCCGGGCTCTGTCGGTGTCGCTGCTCGGCCCGGCCCGGTGCACCCGGGCTGTGCGGCGGGTTCTCCTCTCGCTCGCCCGCCCGCCCGCCCGCGGCACCGCTCATTTCCGGGTCGGGGCCGCATCCAGCTCTAGCGGCGGCTCCGCTCGCCCGCTGCCCTGCGCAGGGCGGCCGCAGGTGACCGCTCCGCTCTCCCCTGGCCGGACCAGGTAAGCGGCGCGAGGGACTCCCCGGGGCGGGCGGGCTGAGGGCTCACTGCCCCTGGGCGCGGGTCCCCTCACCGCCCCCTCGCCATTTTGTGCGGCCGCTGGCGTCCGCGCCGCCGGGCAGGATCCCCTCAGGAGCCGGCAGGCGAGGTGTTGGGGAGCGGCCGCCGCAGCGAAGGACCCCGGCCGGGCCTTCACGCGCGCCTTGGCAGCCTCCGCGGTCCCTCCGTGCCCCTGTGGGGTGAGGGGAGTGGAGGGCTGGGGTCCTTGCCTGTCCGGGGTGACATACCTGCCTCGGCACCAGCTGTCGGTGCCCGCTGGCTGCTGGCTGGGGAAGGACCGGTGTGTCCCGCCGCACACTGCTCCTGGGCCGTAGCTGTCACCGTGGCCATGGGATGGAGCGCTCTGCCATGGTGGGGTCTGGGCTTGGGAAGCTGCCGTGACTCTTAAGTCCGCAGGCTCCTTTGTGATGAGGTCTTGTGTGCTGGACCTGAATGGAGAGCTTTTATTTTCCTGTTCATTTTTCAGCATCCTCTGCTCAAGGAATGTTCTTCCTTACCACAATGCAGGTGCAGATGACACTGCACAGTAAAGATGCATCCCTATGGCAGCTGCATTAGTGCTGCTTCTCCTTCTCCTTGGAAGGAAAAAAGAGCAGAGATTTCCTTCTCCTAAGACGGCAGTGTCTTTCTCTTTAACATACCATGCGCATCGGATGCACTTTGGTGAACTTTTGTGTTGAACCTCAGGTCCTTCCTGTAGGACTTCCTGAAAACAGCCAAGGGGAAAAGAGGCCAGCGATCGTCAGCCTCTGATACAGGGAGATGGCCGTGTCTGGAGGAGGCGGGATAATCCCAACATAATGTGTTAAGACATGACCCGCTGAGTCCCTGCTTATTCTGACAGAGATGATGGCTGTTGTGCATCAAGGGGCCCTTGGAAAACTGGCAGCTTGTATGTAACCTTGCTTTACCCAGGTTCGGGGGCAATGGCATCTTATTCTTCATATTCTAGAGCTGTGTTTATTTCTGAGGATTTGTATGTACCTGTATAAGCAGGTACATACAAATGAATATATATATATATACTTACAAATCTGAGGGCCACTGAAATTGCTTGCCTAGATCAAACTGATAACAAGTCTAGTCTGTACTGTCACTGGCCAATTTAGGTGGTTCAGAGGAGATTCCAATATGGGCTGGAGTGGAAGAAACCTCTCTTTGCCAGGGCCTCCTGCTGCACAGAGACTGATACGAGGCCTGAGGCATAAAATGTTAGGATCCTTCATAAGACAGTATAAAATCTCTCTGAAGCTACCTTGCTGAGCGAACAATGTTGTTCTTATTCTCCACAGCGTCACTCTTCTCTTGGTCTCTCTGCTGTGGCAAGCTAATCTGGATAGTATGAACTGTCTGATTGGAAAGCCTGCTTGGCTATTTTGTCACCATCAGATAGGAACATTTCTCCTCCCATGGCAATTTAATGCATCTAATGAATCAAGACCCTACCATCTACTGATCTAAAGATTGTACTGCAAAGGAGGGCTCCATGTGGGGCTGACTTTGGCAGTACACAGGCAGTGCTGAGGGACTGCTGTTAACTTGTGATTTTGCCAGGCAGCATCAGAGAATAAACTAATGGGATGAGGACAGTTGGCAGTAACACAAATCATATGGGCACAGCTCCATGCACAGTGTTTGTCATGGTCAGAGAGCTTGCAGATATTGATCCTTATGTGCGATACACGAGGTTTGGTTTCCATAATATAGCCCACATGCTATTCACTGCCTGAATCTTTTTTGGTTTGATAAGGCTGCTCTGGGGACTGAATCCTCCCACCTCTCCTAGCTGCTTGTAGGAGCTCATCTTGGATTTAAAGACAGTGACAAGAAACTTCAGCTGTGGCAAGTGTGTTGTCTTCCATGAAACAGGGCAGTCTCTTCCCTGTTCCTGCCAGGCTCCTTTGCCTGCTGTCCATATAAAGTCAGAGGTGGAAATACTTGGTTTACTTTGAAGGACTGGATCTTGAACAGTCTGTGTTTTTGTCACAATGAAAGAGCAGAATTGCAACAACTAGTAGGGCTTCTGTCCTTTGCCAGTGTGTATCCTTTGAGGTAGGGATAGGCCAGCTGCTTGAAAGTGAGATGCTATCCATGCTCTGGTCACTTAATATTTTTCTGGCAGTGTTCTCTTTTCCTCATCCTGCATCCTAAAGCTTTAATTTCTTGGCTGATGCTGAGGAGGATTTCCCTGTGCATGGACCTAATAGCACATTTCACTAAGCAAACCTGACCTCTGCTGCTGTGCGTGGACCACTGGAGTGGATCCACTAAGTATTCCCTGCGTGCTCCTGCTGAGGCAGGGAGCACAGTGTGCTCTTCTCAGGCCATATGCTGGAAAGGTTTGCAGCACGTAAGTGTCTTTTCATTAAAAACAAATAAAACCACACAAAAAAATAATGAACTGATGTTATTAATTTGTTTTCTCGTGCTGATTTCTGATTGTCTTGGAGTTTTCTGCATGTCTGTATAAGCTGCCAGGAATGCTTGAACCTCAGTATTTCACTTGGCTGCAGCAACTAGGGCCTCAAGTGGAATAACAAACACTGTGAGCTTTGACCTAAAACCTCAGGTTAATAGCTGGTGTGGGTTGTGTGGAGGTTGTGGCACCATGAACTTCCAAATGAAGTCTGGAGCCATGGTGGGTTTGCCCATGCTTTGTTCAGGTTGTGGTATTGTGACCGGGAAGTCCTGTGGACTTTTCAACCAAGTGTTTTCCTCATAACCATGTGTTGCAGAGCACTGAAACTGGAACAAATACTGTCTTGTGCTCTTAGAGACTGTGACTTTAATCATAGGTTTGTTTGGGAAGACATGGGGTATGGTATGATGCTCTGGAAGGGTACAGTGCTATCATCTGGTTGGCATAACTGGAGGAAAATCTGTGAAGTAATAAGATTGAGAGCAAAGAGGCTTGTAAAATCCTGCTTTCTATCTAATGAAATGTGTGATTGCAGTGAATTTAACAGAGGTGAGGTCTGAAGGAGGAGCTGTTGTTCCTGCTTCTGTAATTCTGATTCTTGTGCTAGTATCACTTTTCTGCACCAGTTAATGGCCCCATCCATGTAGAAGCCACTACCTGGTTTGCAAGGGTAAAAACGTGACTGGCAGCTATGAACGTACTGGTATCTATTGTGGTGGTCCAGCACTGCCTGGGCATGGGGCTGGCTGGTGGTTCTGGTGAGACCCTGGCAGATGCAGAGATGTTGCTATTCACAGCAGACTGTATATCATAGGCTGAGGCAGCCTGTATTTCTAAAGAGGACATGGGAATAGGAATAAGGGGAGAGCTCTAAGACATCTTCTACAGCTTGTTGAAAGAATTAGCCTCTGTCATGTGTGCTGGATGAAGGCTAAAGCAATGCAGTGAAGGCTTGAAAAATGTCAATTGCAGCTGTGCAATCGAGGTAACAGTGTCTGGCTGTTTATTGCTTCCTATCTCAAGCTCTTCAAAAGAATAACAAGCAGGATATCTGCAAACCTTTGGGGGAGTAGCACTGGCAGCTGTGTAGTGTTAAAAATAAGATTGTGGAATGTCTAGGTATGTTATTTAGGCTATGGAAAGCAAACCTCTTGGGAAACATCCAACTGTGTCTGGGCACAGTGAGGTGAGTCCAGCCCCTGGAAAAGGAGGGTTAGAAGCAGACCGCAGGCTAGCTGCAAGCAGTAGAATGGGTGTAGAGGGAGCCTGGGAGAGGTGCAGGTGCAGGGAGGCAGATCTAATGTGTAATACAGGAAAACTCAGTGGCCCTCACTGCTGTAGAAGCCAAACACCTCTCCATCTTATTCACAAAATCATCTCTGTGTAAGAGTAGTGCTTTTATCTGCCTCAGTTTCCACTTTGTAAAATCAAGAGGAGGAAAGCAAGCTCATCTCCAGCTGGGAATTTAAGCTGTAGGTAACCTGTATGTCAAAAGCATGCTTGGTGTTGAAGTTTTCTCTCTGGACAAATGGACTGACCCTCTGTAAAAGAAAACTGACCAGCTTATCTATTGGCAAGGACTAGCATGGCCATGCAGTGGCTAGGGAAGGTGAGCTGTACGCCCATGCAGGCAGCTGAGGTGAAGATGAGTTGTGTAAATATTGCTGAGCCTTATTTTTGCCATAGCTCTTGCTTGTGGCTCCAGTACAAATGCAGAACCCCCTTCGATTTAATGTATTTCCTATGGCACAAGAAGAGTCTTTTGCTTCCCATGCAAATCTGTTTGCTCACTCAAAGCTGCTAAATGCAAATGTACCACTTGTAGCTGTTCTCTATGGGAAGAGTAATGTGGGCTTTATGTAAAGCATGAAGATAAGACCTCAGGAGCGTGGAGAGCAGAGCAATAAGCAGATTTGCACTGGAGAAAGGTCAGCATGGCTGTAGTTCATTCACAGCCTGTTTCCAGACTCGTGAAGGGGGATATTTCAAGCTGTCAGTACCAAATAAATAAGCATTTAATAGAAATGGATTAACATTTACGAATTCCGGGGGCATGGGGGCTGGTCAATTGTTCTCTCCCCACTCTTCTTACCAGCTCCCTGCTGCACCAAAGTGCAGAATTCATGGTGACTGATACTTGGTGACTCAACCTGTTCTGATGCCTGGATCCCTTTCCTCTATTCAGGTTGGGCAAATAATGTTCAGTCTGTAACCATGTTTGAGAGCTCTTGCTGTTGCCCTGGATATTGATACTTAGGTTGGCTTAATCCAATTCGATCTGAAAATCTGCTTCTCTGAACAATGCATGTGAGGGGTGGTATTCAAGTGTCTTTACTAAATCAAAAACCTTTTTGGCATCAGTGGTTGAAGCCTTTTTCTTTGTGTACTGCTAAAGGCGCAGGATGTGTAGTATGGTTGAATTAGCATTACTATGGGAACTGTAACTTTTCATATTTCCTGACCTTTATCCATGTAATTTCATTATTTCATTTCATTAAGATAGCTCCAAAATGCTATTTATTTTGTTCTGGTCAGTACTAAGGGAAGCTTTATAAAGGAGCCCAGGCAGAGATTAGAGACAGGGCAGGCTGAAAGGTGCAGAAGAGAGGTTTGCTCTGGGTTTTGTGCTGTTCTGGTAGCATCCCAGCTGAGACCACGGTTCAGTGTAAGCATTGCCTCTGCAGCAACAGTAAACAAAATGGTGAGTAAACTCTTCTGCTCAGGGACAGGTACCTGGTATGGGTGGGTCTGGGTTTTTTTGTTGTCTCAGCTACACTGTTAGAGCCTCCCCCAAAGGATGTGTGGTCCTGGGGCTGAGGCAAGGCTGAACCCTTGAGGACTGGAGAGGAGCAGAGATGCCGTCCAGCAGCACAGAGCCCTCAGCTGGCCTGGGGAAGCTCACTAGCCTTGTTATACCTGCATTAAAGACAAATGTGACAGTTTGTAGTAGTCTTCATGTGCATGTTTTTAGTCTGGTTTTTGAAATAATTTAAAAATCTTTGAAATTGGGAAGGACCCACCTTCACATTTGCTTTCTGCAGGCCCCATCATTGCTTGCTGCTGGGAGGATGGGGCTATTTGGAGCTCCTCTGTTTGCAGGATGATGAGGTCTCTGCTGTTCAGACACCAGGAATCTCAATGGGAATCAGTGGAAAAGTGGGTTGCTCTCTGTAGAGGCTAGGCTTGCCTGCTCATGAATTGTATGGTATGGCAAAGCTTGTTTGCTGGGCAAATATTATCCTTCAGGGCTGACACAAAGAGGCATTTGGGGCAGGGGTGAGCAGAGGGGACTCTACCCCTGCTAACCATACTGCTCTTCGTACTAGGTGATGAAGAGCCAGCCTGCCAGGGTCTCAACATGCTCTTTTTTCTTTGTCACCATCCAAGAAGTCCTCAGGTTTAACTAGTGGGAGCTGACACAGCTCAGGGGAAGCTTCATGCTGCCTGGAAGCCCTGGAGCTGCCACTGGGTGTAAAATCCCCATCATCATCTCCAACTGTCATCAGGCAGGGGTGGCTTTACTTCCTGTTGATGGTGCTGTGGGATAGAGGGGCGCTCTGGTCAGTGGCAGGATAGAGGGTGACATCTCTGGCTGCTTTAGTGAGGAAGTCCTGGGGTCTGCACCCCATCGCAGGGTATGTTTTACTGTGCATTAGAAAGACGCTCCTTGTGCTGTCATCTTGCACTTTGCCTTTCTTTTTTCCTATGCTCTCTGTGTTTCACTTTGTGAAACAGATTGCCAGCTATGTAGATGTTGAAGCAAACTTGAGACAGGATTCACGGGTAGTTTCCAGCTCTGTCCCTGTTGACATCAGGGAGATAGGCAGCTAGCTACTTACAAGAGAGGGTAGCTGCAGCTACAGCTAGAGTTTCTCAGGGAAGGTAAGGTCAGTGTGAGATGAGGGATTATCTACTTTCTTACCTCTTCTTTCCCTCCTGCCTAAGGCAGCTCAGAAACCAGCCCTTCTCCTTTACAGCTGCATTCAAGACAGGGTTACAAGGAATTTACCTTGGGAGCTTAGTGGCAAATTTTCTTGCGCTGCTTTCTGAACCCATGGCTGCTAGCCTACATTGGAAGGGGGATGAGATGCGCAGGGAGCATTGCAAACCACACCTCCTAGCTTGGACCTGCTCTGATACTCTATTTACAGTGGCAGTGTTTGTTCTCCACCAGTTTTCTGCTGCGGAATATACTGCTGGTTCCAGGGAAGGGAAGCAATACTGTTCTACTGCTCCAGGTACCTGGGGACATCTGCAGAGAGAGCAAATGGGGTGGAGGGGAGGGGAGGGAAGAAAGCCTCTCTGATTTGGGCAAGGAATTACTTGAGAAGGAGGTCTGGACAGCTTTGTAAGTTACTGTGTCTCAGCACAGTTTCTCCCTAGGAACTTTCTGCTCCGACTTCCTGCTTTTGCTTTAAAGCAGCAGAGTAAACCTCAGTGCAGTGTCACTGTACACTACTGCACAGAAAAAAATGGTCATTATTCCCACGATGGAGGAAGGAAAATTTATGGATTGGTTTTCAGGAGCTGGAGGTGCTTAATTAACAGAGGGTTCATGCTTCAGCCCGGATCACCCAAGGTCTTTGCAAAAGTGGAACTGAAGGAACTTGCTCTCAGTTCTGATATGGTTCTGCAGGTGGCTTAACTAATTCTATTGACTCATTGATTTGGGGAACTGCTGTTTTAGAGTAATAGCTGCAATGATTACATTGCAGTGTAAGGATTACTCAAAAGTAGAGGGGGAAAATAAGGGCTTATAATATGTGGGGTTATAATGTTTTCTTATGAAACGGATTTCTTGAGCTGCCTAGAGTGAAAACTAAGGATTTTCTGCTGCATACTTTGTGAAGACTTAGAAAATTTTCTTTTAAAACATTTGTCAGGAATTTCTCCACTGTCTCTCATAAGCACACCTATGTCTCCCCCCCCGCCCCTTAATCCTGTATCAGTGTTTCTGCTGTGATCTTCTGACTCAGTGTAAGCTTTTGTCAAAGAGGGGAATATTCCCAGAACAGTTGCACAAGTTGAACAAAAGCACTTCTCAGACAGTGTCTGCTTCTGAGTTTGCTTCAAATTCTATTCCTTAATTTTGACTGCTCTTTGCCCTAAGCTGTTCCTGGTATGCAGGAAACATGTGCCTTCCAGTTGTTATCCCACTTTGTGGAAGAGCAGCTCAGGGCTTGTGGCTGCTTAGAACATTCTGTAGTTTTCTGTCTTGTAGAAATCTGAGAATTCAGTATTTTGGTGTGATTGTCCCCCCTGAATGGGAGAGGGTGTTTCTGGTATCTTGTATGAGATCTTGGAATTCTTGTACATTAAGACCAATCCCCTATTCTTTTGGGAGAAAGAGTGGGAATGTTGAGTTCACCTGTGGTGCCCTCAGAGGTTTGACAGCCAAGAGGTGTCTCTATTCACGGCATGGATTTCATCCTTTTCCAGTGCACAGATTACACTGGCGTTTCAGGAAAGGCGTTTTGCCTAGCACAGCCAACATCTCCTCAGCTCACAGGAAGGGGCAAATCTTTACCTGTATACCCACTGTTGTCAGGGTAGATCCTTAGCTCAGAGATAACCAAGTGTCGCACACCTATGCTTATGGCTATTTTCATCTCTGTGAGGCAGAGTGGGTTAAGCATCTTCTTGGAAATAGGCTTCACCCAGCTGCCTCTGCTCTGTTTGTTGTTTTAATAGCATTTGCAGAAAGGTCAAACTGTCTATGGATCTCACACATCGCTCCTGGGCAAAACCAATGCAGCACCAGCCATGCAGAGGCTTCTCCAGGGAGTTGAGGTGCCTAGAAATCCTCTCCATAGTCATTCCTACTCGTTAATCTTTGCAAACCACATTTGTCCTTTAAGTGCATCTTGCAGATTCAGAGTAGTGATGTAAAGCTTGTCCTCCTGGTCCCAGTGCTAACATACAGCCTAGAAAAGGTCATGGGGGTGAGATCACTGTGTCCAGTTCTCAAGATATTGGAGGTGAATTTCCTGGGATGAAGAAAAGATGCCTGAACTTCATACTTTATGCATCCCCCTGCAGTTGTGGCCCTCTGGTTAAGGAGGTTTCAAGTGCTGCAGAGAACTTGCCAGCTCCACTGGAGAAGAAATCATTGTCTCTCACTTGTATTCAGTAAGCAGTGTGAGTGGGTGCTTCTCCAAAAAGAAGTTTCTCCTTTGAAAAGGGGCTGGGTGGTCTGGTGTTCTGGTTTGGTATTTCATCTATGCGTGTGTATGATGGGGGAGCTATTTGAGGATAACATAAGGCTATGATTATTTTGTTTGTATGAGGCTGATTTCAAGACCAGGGATCTTGATCAACAAAGGTAAGGCTCTTGCTCAGTTCTGTGGTACTTCAGCTGAGATAGGATTGTCACAGGATTTTTAGCCTTTGCACAAAGAGGACAATAAAGTGGCTGAGGAAAACTTGCAGCTGGCCAGAAGGGGCTTGAGCTCAGGACAGTGGGTGGGTGTTAAAAAATTTAATGAAGAAGTGACAGACAAGACCGGGAGCTAATTAGGGGCAGCAGTCAACCTTTCTTGTTCAGCACCCCCAAGGCTGGGTGGCAGAAAGATCATCCTCCGTGAATCCAACACCACTTGTATCCCTCTCTTACAACAGAGGTGAAAACTAGTGACAAGATGCCTAGAGAGGGCGATTGACTTACATGATTGTGCTGGATGAGTGTGCACAGGTAACAGCAGCCCAGAAGGGTTCCTGTTGAGGTTAGACAAAGTGTCATAAAGAGATTCAGCTTCTTGCTGGAAAGGAAAATCTTTGTTCTAGTATTGCATAGCTAGAATCTGAGAACTCCAAGGGGGGAGTCTGAGTTGAGTTTGGCATCCAAGTTATGGGTTTGATGGCAGTGATAGTTGTGGGAAGAAGCCTGACCTTTGGCTGATGGAGCACCATATCCAGTTCATAGGACTGTCCTTAGTGAAAATGTAGCAAATGCTGTGGTCCTTTTAGTGGAAGACTTTGAGCGTGGCTCCTGCTGATGAGGAAGGAGCTTCTATTCATGCTGGGGAACAGCCAGGCTGAACCAGCACTGTGTCTCCAACAGTAGCCAATGGCAAATACCCTCATCTTCCTAGCATGAATGTATAATGATGCTTTCCCAGTACACTTTTCTGTCTGTTTGTGGCTCGGACCAAACAGTTGCAGTCCTTTATGGACAAACTTGGGGAATAAGAAACCCAGTCACTTCTGCAGCCCATGAACTCCTGTGACAGCCTCAGCATCCCATGTCAGCAAGCCCCATGTTTTAACGGTTTGCAGAGTAGTGCCTCCTCCTGCTTGATGTGCAACTGCCACCACCTATTTTATCTGACGCTCCTGGGTTCTTTTCTTAAAGATGATAATGACTGAGAACAATTCTTCATCATCTCTGCCATTCAGGAACTGGATACATAGGCAACTCACAAAAACCAAGCTTTTGCATTTGAAGTTTTGTGTATCCAACAGAACCTTTTATCTATTTGTTCGACAAAAGGCTGTTTCTGTGTAGTATAATTTTGCCCTTGAAGTGTTTCAAGGACGCTGGCAGAGTGTCTAACTCACCACCAGCACAGGACTGAAGTGTGCTCCTTTCAGCCTGAATTTTCTCTGCAGGACACCAAGTGTGGTTGCATTCTTGAGAGTTGGGGGAGAGCCTCATATACCTGTGCCTCTGCTGCTCTCGGGGTGTGAAAGGAGTCTCCGCAGCAGCATTTCTGCTGATGTGTCCTTGCTGAGCTGTAGCAGCCAAGGTGTTGCTTGTCATGGGTGGAGTTTTCCTGAATGACATCTTAGCTGTTCAATAACTAGTGGCATGAGCCCAGCAGAAGACTCCTGGTTGTTGTCTCTGGTACAACCTGCTCTGCACCCAAGGGCTCCCTTTGCTAAAGGCGCAGGTAAGGCAGGAGGAAGTTGCCAGCAATGTTGAATTAAACAGGCTGAGGAGCTGCTCCAGAATTACGTAATTTCCTGTAAAGACTATTTGAAGAGCTTTGAAATGCCAGCTTAGGTCTGGAGCTTGTCTTCCTTCTGGGGCCTTCCTGCCTGCCACACCATCCCTTGGAAAAGGAGGGTTCCCAGTCCTCAGTTTTCACTTTGATTCAAAAATCATCCAGTGTGTCTGATGTCAAGAGCCAAGCTCTTTGTCTTTTCCCACATCTCGGCTGGCAAAGAAAGTTTGTTTGGCTCCTGCCTGCCTGGCCTGTAGGTATCACCAGCAGAGCAGAGCACTTATTCTGCGGTCAACATGCTTGGTGTTACACAGGTGTAATCTTCCTACTTGCAGCATCTAACTCCAACTTCATAACACTGTTCCGCTGATGTGAATCAAGACTGTATTATCTCTTCACACTAAAATATCTGTCTTTCTCAATTGTGTTCTAGAGCTGATTGTTCTCTAACAACCACATATTTGTGGTAGAACATTAACAGCAGTGGCATCAGCAGGAAACTCAATACTGCTCAGAGGCTTTTCCACTTCACTAAGTGAATGATGTTTACTTACAGCTGGCTAACCGTGTCCTTTGTGGCTGTGCAGCACGATCTCCAGCCTATGAAAATACAATGAATTCTTCTTGATGCCAAAGGTTTTTCCATTCCTCTGCTGCTTTGGTATATTAGATGAATCCTTACATTGTGTTGTATGAGATGTTGCAATGTTCTGTTCTGTCTCTTAAGAAACTTGTAAGCTGTTATAAAGTGAAGGAATTTGCAAAAATTAGTTGTTTTTAACCTAGCTGTTGCTATTTGTCATGTCTGATTGCAGACATGCTCTTTATTTTCTCAAAAATCAGCTGTGTGCTAGTTGTATTGACAGATCCCAGGCCATTAGCTGTTTATGGAAAAAATATGGTTAGGATTTTGCTTTTAATTGCTGAGATTTAACTCTTGGCCCAAATACTGTTAGAGGAAAAACTGATGCTTTCTCTCTCCACCCCCCAAGCAAAACAATCCAACAAAGCCAAAACCCCAATTAGTAGGAGCGGTTCCAGTGCAAACACACACCCTCAAGGTTTGCAAGTGCTGCCACACTGCCAGTGTGAGAGAGCTGACAAGTGTCACTGGCTTGCGATGGGCATAGCTGGAGAACAACATGTGTGTGTGATGGAGGACTTGGGGCAGGTTCTGGGGGAAAGAGTGTTGGTTTGGTATGTTGCAGTTACCTATCTGAGTTGAAGACCTTACATTAATGGTCCTTGGCATGTGTTGGTGCTTTCTGTTGTGCTGTTGAATTGGGAAGTATCAG